TACGGTAATGTACGAAGGGGGGGAGGGGTTTATAATTTCTCCATTTTTGTGTACGTACTTTTTGAACGGCCCCATATTAGTTAAACTTACTATATTAATCGACTATTTGATATCGTTAGGATCGCTGGAAGGCTTTGATTTATGAAGAGGGTACGACAAATTGGCTATTTACATCATTTCCGGTCCGAGCAATTTTGTATATATTAGACGGTATATTAAATAGACGGTGTATTGGGCAGTGCTTGGTCATTTTTGTATCAAAAGAACATGAGAGATATTTCCGAATCAGTGTATTGAACTGCCGACTATTGCCCTAAGTATTCTCATTGTTTCCTTCGTTTGAATTCTTATAGTTAGTTTCGTTCATATTCTTATTGCTAATAAAAACTTTTCAACATTGTTCTTCAGCAATCTTTCTTTTTTTTTAAATAGCCGGCACTTGGGGTTTGTCCCATTGGCCACAGGAATGCAAGAACTGCTACTCTCTTCTCGTTACCCAGTGGGCACCTGTGGCGAAGCCACTGCTGTGGAGCAGCGTCGCCCACGTCACACAACCACATTCTCGTTTATAGGGCGGGTCACATTCACACAAAGGAGAAAGGACATAGAACACACAGAGAGAAAGAAGCATCCATGCCCTGAGCAGGATTCGAACCCACGGCCAATGGCTCCGCTGTCAGACACGCTAACCACTCGGCCACCTGGTCGGCTAAGCAATCTTAATAACGGAAACACAATTCATAGTTCGAAGAAATTCCAATTAAGGACAATTTTTATATTTCATTCTTTCAAAATGTTTGGGAATCTATTTCAGTTCAATATCGTACTTCTGAGGTTCTCACACCTCTGCTCTCACAAACAGTTTTATTTATTTTATTTTATTTTATTTGTTTCATTGTTTTTTTCAAAACTTGTTTCTCGTTCCCTTCCAGTTAAATCAGTTTTTTCCTTGTTGCAACTTGCTTCCAATTTTTCTTCATCACCTCCCCGTTTTCTTCCTCTCGTTTGGTGTCTCGAGCCTAGGGATTATAGAACCGAAACTTATGTATATCTGATTTTGGGACTTTATTCATATTGCATAGATTTATTTTAAAGTAAAGTTGCTGCTGTTGTTGTTCATTTACGTCGCACTAGAGCAGCACAATGGCCTATTGGCGACGGTCTGGGAAACATCCCTGAGGATGATCCGAAGACATGCCATCACAATTTCGATCCTCTGCAGAGGGGATGGCACCCCCACTTCGGTAGCCTGACGACCTGCACTCGAAGTCGAGCATTTTACGGTAGAACAGTTTAACGAAGATCCATACCGCACACCCTCGGTCCCTACGCAGGCTGATCCAAGTGGTCACCCACCCGCACACTGACCGTAGCCAGTGATGCTTGACTTCGGTCATCTGCTGGGAACCGTGTCTTAACGATCAGTCCACTGCGGGACAAAATGAAGTACAAAATATGTCTATTCTAATTTTCGATATTTCATTTGATTCAAATTTAAATTACGTCCGAAATGCTTAATGACCAGGCCTGCCAACTACTGCGCTTTCTGAAAAAATATTTTATAGAGTGGTAGACAGCTAAAAAATCCATAGCTTTCAAAATTTTTGGTAATTTGCAAACATTTTAAAATCCTTACCACGAAAGAGCTGGAACAAAGTGGCGTTCCACTTGATCTTTCAAATCACTTATTTATAGTGGTGTGGAAAATGAGTATAAATGAATAAAAAATAATACATTAAAACTTAAACATAGCTACCACTAGAATAAATATTTATGAAAAGCATTGAAAGTTGGCAACCCTGAATTACCATTTAAATTTTGTCTCATCCAACATCAGCATTATTGCTAGGAATTTTGGTGTTTCGCCAACGCGAATAGTTTACGTCAGTTCGAATAGTTCTATAGCGAATAGTTCTTCTCGCTCTCGTGATATTTCCGAGCTGGAGTGTTCAGTAGTAACGCGCCAATAAGAATAAAAGTAATTCCTTTCTTTTGCCCGGAAAACATTTCATTTCTCATTTTACACACCAGGAGGCAGTACCAGGATAATTTTTAAGGTAATTTAGATAGTTAGTTTATTTTAAACTTGATGTCAGCGTGATTCAAATACGTGTATAAAAAATAGGCAATCTTATAAACGTTTTTTTTTGTTGTTGAAAATTAACAGATCGTTAAGGGGTAGAGAGTGAATAACTAAGGAAAAAGTCGAGACTTAAAAAAATACGGATAAAATATGAGAAAATAGAGTCGTTTAAGTTGCACAAACAAATCGTATCAAGCTAACATTTACCTGTTTTGCCACACTACTGATTTCAACTGCAGCATCTAAGCCAGAACAACCCATACCAACAACAATTACATTTTTCTTTTCGTATGGTGCGACACCTTTCACACTGTGGGAATGGATTATTTTCCCTTTAAACGTGTCTTGACCTTCATATGAGGGCCATTTCGGTATATTAATGTGCCCCACACAAATAGCCACTGCATCATAAGTATCCGAGGTGACCTCACCTGATAGAGTATTTTTTACGCTCACGGTCCACCTGCCTGTCTCTTCATAATCAGCAGCCCGTTTTACCTCAACGACTTCTGAGTTGTACTGAATGTGATTTAAGACTCCTTTTTCAGTTGCATAGCTCATGAAAAACTCATAGAGTTCAGAGTGTTTCATATAATTGGGCAATTCCTTGGGTGGAGGAAAGTTGCTCATCGCTCTGAACTCTTTGCTATGGTTGATGATTGTTGTTGGCATGATTGAAGGAACTCCGACTGTGGATTCTTCTCTATAGTTCCAAGTGCCACCTGGTCTGTCAGATTTCTCAAAGCAGATGGGCTCCATGCCGCCTTCTTCTTTTAGCATCGCTATGAGGCCACATCCTGAGAAACCGCCACCTACAATGCCTATTCTCTTCTTGACTGCTGGTACCATAATTCTGAAGAAAAAAAAGATAAACGATAAGAAAAATATCACCGAAACAATTTTCTTTTAAATTTATTCGATTAAGAAATATAATTTTTTTAGATATACATAAGTCTTAAAGTACCCGAGTCCCGCAGTGGACTGATTGTTAAGACACGGTTCCCAGCAGATCACCGAAGTCAAACATCACTGGCTGTCGTCAATGTGGGTGATCACTTGGATCAGTTTGCGTAGGGACCGAGGGTGAGCGGTATGGGTCCTCGTTAAACTGTTCAAAGTGCTTGACTTCGCGACCAGGTCGTTGGGCTACCGAAGTAGGGGTGCCATCCCCTCTGCAGAGGATCAAATTTGTGATGACTTGTTTTCGGATCATCCTCAGGGATATTTCCCAAACCGTCGCCGATAGCCCATTGTGCAGCTCTAGTGTGACGTAAATGAACTACAACAACAGTAATGTACCCGAATACCTTCGGAGGCAAAATTTTGAAATTTTTAAACTTAAAAATGTTTCTATTTGGTTGGTACCTTATTTGCGTCGTACTACATCTGCACAATGGATTATTGGCGATGGTCTGGGAAGCATCGCCTGAGGATGACAACTGAGGATGATCCGAAGACATGCCATCGCACTTTTGATCGTCTGCAGAGGGGATGGCTCTCATGCTCTGGTAACCCTACGTCCTGCTCACGAAGTCGAGCACGGTAGAACAGTTTAACGAGGACCGATTCCGCCAATCCTCGGTTCCTGCGTAGCTGATCAAAATGGTCACCCACTCGCTTACTGACATCAGCCAGTGATGCTTGACTTCATTGTTCAACTGAGAACAGTGTCTTTACGATCAGTCCAATACGGGACTGTTTTTTATTTGAATTTATGTGTGTATTATACACTAAAACCTGGTATAAATACAAAAAATATGAAGGAAAATTTTTTTTGACAATGTGGGAGGACTTTTCAAAAAAGACCAAAAATCAACTTCTTTTCAAAATCACATAGCTTTAATGAAATTTATTTTTTTTCTTCATTCTTGCGTTACTCATCAAAGCTCAACTTAGGTAACAGACTACGCATTAGACCTTAAATTAATACTTAGATATTTTACATCAAATATTGAAACTGTTTTGGCAAAAAAAGGCAACAAATTGTAATATTTTCATTTTAGCTGTAAAATATAAAATAATAGTTTAAT